GATTTGGGGCCAATTTTGGGGGGATTGGGGGGCAATTTTGGGGAGATTTGGGGGCATTTGGGGTAATTTGGGGCCATTTTGGGGGGGAGTTTGGGGGATCAGTGGGATTTTGGGGGATTTTGGGGGAATTTGGGATATTTTGGGGATATTTCGGGGTGGTTTTTTGGGATATTTTGGGATATTTTGGGGATATTTCGGGTGTTTTGGGGCTATTTTGGGCTATTTTGGGGATATTTTGGGTCCCACCTGGCCGTAGGCGCAGGCGATCCCGCTCTGCACGGCGCTGAGCCAGCGCAGCTGCGCCCGCCCCGACTCCGCCTGCAGCACGCAGCTCCTGCCCAGGCGCATTTCGGGGTCCCCGATGGGATTTCGGGGTCCCCGATGGGATTTCGGGGTCCCCGATGGGATTTTGGGGTCCCCCCGAGGGAAATTTGGGGTCTTTTCCTGCCCTTTTGGGGTCGTTTTGGGGCGGATTTGGGATTCCCAAGGGGGTTTGGGGGGGTTTGGGACTCCGAGGTTTTGTGGATTGGGAGATTTTGGGGTCCCCCAGGAGGATTTTGGGGTCCCCGAGGGAATTTTGGCGTCCCCCCGAGGGAATTTTGGGGTCCCCGATGGGATTTTGGGGTCCCCGGGAGGATTTTTGGGGTCTTTTCCAGCCCTTTTGGGGCGGATTTGGGGATCCCCTGGGGGTTTGGTTTTGAGGATTGGGAGATTTTAGGGTCCCCCAGGAGGATTTTGGGATCTCCCCGAGGGAATTTTTGGGTCCCTGGGAGGATTTTGGGGTCCCCCAGGGGGATTTTGGGGTCCCACCCGAGGGAATTTTGGGGTCCCCGGGAGGATTTTTGGGGTCTTTTCCTGCCCTTTTGGGGTTGTTTTGGGGCGGATTTGGGGATCCCTGGGGGGTTTGGAGCTCCCTGGTTTTGGGGATTGGGAGATTTTGGGGTCCCCAAGAGGATTTTGGGGTCCCCCCAAAATTTTGGGGTCCCCCGGGAGGGTTTTAGGGTCCCTCGGAGAGGATTCTGTGAAGTTTGGAGGGGATTTTTGAAGTCTCCATCTTAGAAAATTGGGACTTTTTGTGGGGTTTTTTTTGTTTTCTCCAAAATTTTGGGTTTTTTGGGGTCCCCCCGGGATTTTTGGGGTCCCCCAGGAGGATTTTTGGGGTCCCCCCGGAATTTTGGGGTCTCACTTGGAGGGGGAGACGACCTCGAAGCAGAAGCGGGGGGGGAGCTCGGGGCAGGCTTTGACCGTGCAGAGCCGCAGGTCCTCCACCAGCACCCTGGGGGGGTCCTGGGGACCCCAAAATTTCACCGGGGGGCCCCAAAAATCCCGA